GGGTGTGATCCATGGTCTCAGGATCGAGTCCCACATCGAGCTCTCTCCCTGGAGCGTGCTTCTCCTTCTGCCTACGTCTCTGCCTTTCTCTTTCAGTGTCTTTCATTAATAAATAAGTAAAATCTTAAAAAAAAAAGTCAAAAGAATACTATTTTGTGACGTGGAAATTAAATGAAATTCATTTATCAGTGTCCATAAATAAAGGTTTATTGGAACATAGCCATACTCATTTGTTTACATATTATTTATGGCTACTTTTGTGAGTTTGCATAGTTGGGACTGAGATGTGGCATTCTTAGTGTTCTGCACTGCTGCTTGGTGCAGTATAATCACTGTTTTAAGTATCTTTGACATCATTATCCTGTGAGATTTTCCTTTATTACCAGCATATACCCATCATGTTGAAACAAGAAAAGCTGAGAAAAATGGACTTGACATATTATAGTTCTAAAGTACATTAGAGTTTGAATTATCAAATTAGATGATAGCATTGATTATTATTCAATGATACTATAGTTGTGCTAAAGAAATACAGTATACACAGACATTACCAGACTAATCATTCATCACAGTATTCCCAACACATGGGAAAACAATGGTTAGAAAAATCAGAAAATTTAAAAAGGAATATCTTATAGCAGAATTTCTTCACAAAATTATTAACAGTGAAAATCAAGCTGCACCCAGGTTAAGTTTCTGAATGTCTCATTTGTTAGTTAAGTAAGGAAGTTGTTTACTGATGGTGCCTTAACTAAATCGTGTTTGATTGTAGTAGCCAAAGAAATGTGTCTGGAGAAAATAAACTTGTTTAAAGCTATTAGTCTTTTCGGGATGCCTGGGTGGCTCAGTGGTTGGGCGCCTGCCTTTGGCTCAGGTTGTGATCCCGGGGTCAAGTCCCTCATAGGGCTCTCTGCAGGGTGTCTGCTTCTCCCTCTGCCTGTGTCTCTGCCTCTTTCTCTAAGCCTGTGTTTTTCATGAATAAATAAATAAATCTTTAAAAAAAAAAAGCCATTAGCCTTTTGGCGAGAACAGTTGCTGGAAGAGTTGAGAACATTAATAATCAATTAAAAAACAAAGCAAATGATTTTGAGTGGTTTTCCTTGGCTTTTGTGGATTGACAGAAGTTACCACTACAGCTCATTTGGTGTTATTCATGAAGTCAATTCTAAGTTTGACGTTTTTGAAGAATTAGTTTTAAAAACAATGCTCATGGAATAACTACAGGGAAAAATATTTTCAAAAAGTTCAGAAAATACTGATTTTGTATAACCTGAGGTGGGATCTGCTCAGATTTAGTATAACTGATGGTGGTAAAAATAGGTGTAGAGGAGAAAAAGGCTTAGGTGAACAAATTTACAAAACTGTGAAATTGTAAAGTGAAATTACAATTGTGAATTGTAAGTACTTATTTATCAGGTTTTTTACAGAGAATATTTGAATATATCATGCAATATAGAACTAGTTGGTAGCTTCTCAAGACTCAAAGAGTATTGCTCTTGTGGACTTAATCTTTGTCAGTTCCTTGAATTTTTGTCAGAAATAGAAGCTGAATATCCTGACTTGACCTACCACACTGAAGTGGCTTAGTAGTGGTATACTTTTATTTTAGTCTTTTTAGCTTACGGCTGAATTGAGATTTTTGAATGAGAGGAACTCTTCTTAGCCACTGTTAGTGAGCCCTGAATGGCTTTGGAAATCAGTTTTTGCTTCAGACTTGTTAATGTATCTTAATGTATTAAACCTAACATTACAAGCAAAACATTGGTTATATGTAAAACTAAAAGTTATTTTGATGTTTGAATCACAAGTAATAAATATTAAGCTGTTTTATGTAGCTTTCCTTCCAGTTGTCCGAAGTGAAGGTAAAGAAGGGACATCCCTGTTCCCACTCAGATTTGCAGTATTGTTTCTGAGCTCCATTTCAGCAGCCTTTCGGAGACTTTGGTGTAAATGGAAAGGAAATTACCATAATTCAAAATCTGTTTAACTGTGCATTTGAGGCACTTGCTCCTTAACCTTTAATTGGAAGTGATTAATCCGCAGTGTAAGGACGTGCCAAAAGACAAATATTAAGAGAAGAATAAAGTCTGTAGGTATCTTCCAAATAATAAATAATGCTGAATCAAAATCATGTACGTGATGGCACCTTTCTGGGTGAAGACATTTTCAAACATGAAATACATAAAATCTTATTAAAAAGCAGTGCTACCCTATGAATGTTTGCAATTAATTTTGATGATAGGGAACACTAATTTTGAATCTTAACTAAGTGAAATATTATTAGCCCTTCCTCCCAAAAGAGCTTTGTTCGTACCAGGAGACAAGCTTTACAAAAAGTTTTACTCAGTGATTATTATTAGAATGTTTTGAATTTTATCAATGAAAATTATTAAAATTTTTGTCTTCTCATATAAGTACTTATGTAATATCCTCAATTTGGTCTGTTTGCCCTTAAAGCCTAAAATATTTACTGTATGATCCTTTGTAGAAAGAGTTTTCTGACCCCTGTTTTACATTAAGATATTTTTATCTGCATAGTTGTGTAGCTGCACATATTAGCAGAATTAATGCTTTAAGGTCACACTGACTTTAAAAGAAAATAATATATGGAACAGCTTTGTTTCTACTGGATTTATTAATTACAGCTCATTCACTGTAATAAGACTTTATTGCTTGGTTTGGTTATGTTCTGATTTGAACAAGAGGTTTTCCGTGGTTTCCATGTGGATAAATCTACTGAAGTTTCTAAGTGTGCAAAAGTAGTGTACACTTGCTGTGATATGATTCTCAAATAACATAGACACTGCCTTCAAGGAACTAATGCTAGGTGAAAAGACAAACAATATGTCAGAACACCTAAAGGAAACTGCTTTATTTTCAAGGATCTACTGGAGTCCTTTGAAATGCCTAGAACTAGATGTGCTTAATTTTGAGGAAGAGTTTTTGAACCCTTTAAGAATAGAGAAGAGGTAGAGAGGAAGGGCGAAGCAACACCAAAATTTAATTCCCTTTAGACAGGCATGGAGAAATATTTTTTAAAATTTAAATTCAATTAATATATAGTATATAGTTTCAGAGATAGAGTTTAGTGATTCATCCGTTGTATATAACACCCAGTGCTCATTACATCACATGTCCTCCTTAATGCCCATCACTCTGTTTCCCCATCCTCCCACCACTACCCCCCCGCCCTTCTAGTAACCCTCAGTTTGTCTCCTTTGGTTAAGCTTCTTATGGTTTGTCTCCCTTTCTGATTGTATCTTGTTTTATTTTTCCCTCCCTCTGTGCTCCTTGTTTTGTTTTTTAAATTCCAAATATGAGTGAAGTCATATAATTGTCTTTCTCTGACTGACTTATTTTGCTTAGCACAATACCCTCTAGTTAATACCGATGTCGTTGCAAATGGCAAGATTTCATTTTTTAAAATAAGATTTTATTTATTCATTCATGAGAAAGAGAGAGAGAGAGAGAGGCAGAGACACAGGCAGAGGGAGAAGCTCCCCGGTCTCCAGGATCATGCCCTGGGCTGAAGGTGGCGCTAAACCGCTGAGCCACCCGGGCTGCCTGATTGCATTTTTTTTGATGGTGAAGTGATGGTCCATTGTGTGTGTGGAATACCACATCTTCTTTATCTATTCATCTGTCAGTGGACATCTGGGCCTTTTCCATAGTTTGGCTATTATGGACATTGCTGCTATCAACACTGGGTTGCAGGTGCCCCTTCGGATCACTACATTTGTATCTTTGTGGTATATACCTAGTAGTGCAATTGCTGGGTTATAGGGTAGTTCTGTTTTTTTACTTTTTGAGGAACTTTGATATTGTTTTCCAGAGTGGCTGTACCACCTTGCATTCCCACCAACAGTGTATGAGGGTTCCCCTTTCTTTGCATCCTCATCAACATTTGTTTCCTGTTTTGTTAATTTTAGCCATTCTGACTGCTGTAAAGTGGTATCTCATTGTGGTTTTGATTTGTATTTCCTTGATGCCAAGTGGTGTTGAGCAGTCTTTCATGTGTCTGTTGGCCATTTGTATGTCTTCTTTGGAGAAGTGTCTGCTCATGTCTGCTGTGTGTTTCTTGACTGGATTAAGCATGGAGAAATATTTTAATTTTCTTTACTAAGTAGATTTATTGGTTTACTGTTCTGGGAAATAAGAGTAGAGCAGTTTGGCCTCTTCTTGGATGTCATTCTTCTATATCTCTGAACTTCCTACTCTTTATAGTCTTGGATGGAACGTATCTTTGCATAGAAGCCTTGGGTGATTCTTAGATGAGTTTGGGAAGCCAGGAAGAAAAGCCAGAATTACTGAGCTGGAGGGCTTTGGTGGAAACCAGAGGTCAGATGATACTCTTCATAGCATCTGTGGAAGGGAAAAGATCAATGATAGTATTTGCATAGATGGAAAGCTATAGAGAATGACAAAATCATAGAAGATTACAAGTTGAACAAAAAGGGCTCAGGTAGTTGAATTCACAGAATTTTGCTTAGATTTAACTTGTATGAGACAAATATATATAAATGATGCACGGACAACTATAGGCTGTTCCTTTAAAATGTATTCCTTAAGTATGACTTTTGGTTTGGGGGGCCAAAATGTTTTAGAACTAATTTCTCCATTTTTTTTCCAGTGGAAAAAATAGAATATGATATTCATATATTTCTACATTGTTAAGAATAAATTGAATAAATTGAATTTTATTCAAGTTTATCATTATTACAGCTTATGGTAATTATAAATGAGCAAGGAAAACTAGTGTCCAATTTATATACCTTTAACATAAACCAATAGTTCAGAGTTGTGTAATTTTCCTTAGGTGTTCTTTTGTGATCTCTGTACTTCCAGAATTAGAAACTTTGTTCAGTATTATAAGATGCATTCAGATAACCTCAAAGAAAGAACCATTTTGACTCTGAAAGTAGTTTTAAGCAGATATTTTAAAGAATAAAAAAATGTTCTAAAGTTGGTGCTGAAAACTTAATAAGGCATTATGTATTCAGTGTAGGTCTCTGCAAGAAGATGAATTTGGCTGAGATTTGTGACAATGCAAAGAAAGGAAGAGAATATGCACTTCTTGGGAACTATGACTCATCAATGGTATATTACCAGGGGGTGATACAGCAGATTCAGAGACATTGCCAGTCAGTCAGAGACCCAGCTGTCAAAGGCAAATGGCAACAGGTAAGACACAGTCAAGTATTCAGTGATTGAGGGCAGTAATTTATTATACTTGAGAGACTAGAGTTGGAAAATTACTTAGAGATTATGTAAATAGTTCTTATTTGTCCAAATACTGAAATGTATTTAAAATGTACTCTGAATATTTTGTCTTGCCCAGTTAATATTTTATATATTTTTGATAGCTTTCATGAGACATATTTTGAGATATTTAATTATAATTGTAATTTACTTTAAATTTTTAAAATTTTCATGATCAGCCCAGTTGTATATAATGACAGATTTTTGATATAAGGTATTTCTACTCACCCTTTCCCTTTTCAGTGTTACATGTAATTTTGACCTATTTCATAAAACTTTTAAGAAAGTTTCCTCTTCTTTTGAAAGACTCCCTACAAATACAAAGGTCAATAATCTAATAAAACTAATATATTTGCTGTGTCTTTTGACTGTACAACTTGATTATATAATAGTACAGTTAATAAAAATATGAATTAGAATTTCCCCACTTATTAAAACTTAAAATCCTTTTAAAATTAAAAGTACAAAGTGAAGCATTTCTTTGAAGTTTCCATTTAATGTACTAATGCCTTTCAAGTGTTTCTTTTAATTTTTCCATGTCAGAAATTGATGTTTCACTTAAGTTTTCAGGGTAAATTTGGCTTATTTTCTGACTTAAGCATTACCAAATTATGTTGAGTGAGGACAGTATACTTGCTTTCACTCAAGTTGAATTTTTAGTTGTGTTTTTCTATATTGTATACTAGCCATAGGCAATAGTGGTTTATTATTCTAGCATGGAAATATTTTTGACAATTTCTTAATTGTGTTAAATAGTGACCATTTGTATTCAGATATTTCTACTATGTTTATTTTTAGTAGGTTCTATAATTTCATTTCTCCAAGTATATAATTGCATATATTAGCAGTTGAATTTTACCTAGGTTTTTCCTTTCTCTGCTTTACAATAAAGTGTGCTTTCTGGTTAAAAACAAATTAAAATTGTTAAAGTGAATTTATAAATGTAATTTTCAATCTGTTATCTGTTTGCCTTTAAAATTAGTTTGATCTCAAAGTTTAAAAACAGGATTTCTATATAGTAGGTACTCAGTGAGGTTTTTTATTTTTTATTTTATTTTTAAGATTTTATTTATTTATCCATGAGAGACACACAGAGAGAGGCAGAGACATAGGCAGGAGGGAGAAGCAGACTCCCTGTAGGGAGCCCGATGTGGGACTTAATCCCAGGACCCGAGGATCTTGACCTGAGCCAAAGGCAGATGCTCAACCACTGAGTCACCCAGGTGCCCCTCAGTGAAGTTTTTTAAATATGGGAAAAATCTTGCCTTTGAACTCAAAGAGAACTTTATTCAGCAACTGAAAGAATTTAAGTCCAGAAAAATTCAGATTTTAGGTGAAGGAGAATTTAAATAAAAATTGGAAGTGGGTAAAGCTTAGTAATCTGCCACTTCAGATTTTCAGATGCTCATGACAGGCATTTCATACTTAGTGATATGAGAAGTAGAAAATTCTGGTGAAAATTTTGGCTGATAAGTTTCTGAAAGCTATTTACAAATATGTTAAAAGGGTTTAGCATAATATTTTAGATATCTGTGAATGGTTAACTTGTTATTGAACTTGTTTTAAATACATTAATGATCATCACATTCATTGGTAGAAATGAGTTCATTATGAAAATATATTAACTACTTCCCCTAAAAAAAGGTATGTAATGTATTTTTTCAATCTAGTTCCCGCCCTCCTATATTACTTTAAATAGTACTTTTTTTTTTTTTAAGATTTTATTTATTTATTCATGAGAATATACAGAGAGGAGAGAGAGAGGGGCAGAGACACAGGCAGAGGGAGAAGCACGCTCCATGCAGGGAGCACGATACGGGACTCAATCCCAGGTTTCCAGGATCAGGCCCTGGGCCGAAGGCTGTGCTAAACTGCTGAGCCACCTGGGCTGCCCCAGTACTTTGTTTTTTAATGTTTTAATGACTCACTTTGCATACTTTGAGAAAATGTGCATTATTATTATTTTTTTTAATTTAAGACTTAGCACAAGCCAGGTGGGCAGAGGCAGAGGGAGAGGGAGAGAGAGAATCTCAAGCAGACTCCCTATTGACCACAAGCCTGACATAGGGCTCCTGCTCATGACCCTGAGATCAGGACCTGAGCTGAAACCACGAATGGGATGCTCAGCCTATGGCGCCACCCAGGCACTGCTAGAAAACTTGCTTTCTATACCAATTTGTTATTTGCCATTCGTATAAACTTTAAACAGTTTCCAGCATAAGGTTATTTTCTTTTAAGGTTCGGCAGGAATTATTGGAAGAATATGAACAAGTTAAAAACATTGTCAGCACTTTGGAGAGTTTTAAAATGGACAAGCCCCCAGATTTCCCTGTGTCCTGTCAAGATGAACCATTTAGAGATCCTGCTGTTTGGCCACCCCCTGTACCTGCAGAACACAGGTAAATGGGACTTTATATTCTCTTTAGGTACTTTTATAGTTAATTGATATTCAGAGTGAAGAGAGTGAAGCTTTATTTGAATGAAGTATGAAAAATTTGAGGGAGTGTATAAATTTAATACTTGTTTACAGTTTTCACACCTATAGGTTTACAGAGTTTAGTTTGATATAGAAGTAAATCATTTGTCATATATCTTTTAGAATGTTACTATAAATCATAGCAATAGAAATCTGCTAGTCCTAAAATTTATCAGTTAAGTGAGGTCTTTAAGATTTTCTATCAGCGTCAAAACTTGTATGACTTTTTTGCTTTAAAACTTTCTGCTTTAAAAGATTTTAACTTTAGATGAAATGGTGGAGAAATTGGATTCATCTAGTTGGGCTTACAACCACTTTCCAGAGTCATACTGTAGAAGGAACCTTAGCATTTTGTATTCTACAGTCATACTGTAGAAGGAACCTTATTCCAAAAGTTAAAGGTCGGATTCCCTAATGTGGCATATAAAGCTCTAAGTTTATCTCTCTGATGTGCAGCCTATGCATCACCTACATTAAACTTGTCTCTTGTTCTTTCCTGTCTTTTTGTCTTTGCATGATCTATTCTTTCCTCAGGATTCCCATCATTCCCATCTGAGCAACTCATGTTCATTGTTGGACTCTCAGCTCAACTGTATTTTCTCTCTGCAGCCTGTCTCAGTGTGCCCAAACACAGCAGTTTGTTCATAGCAGTTACCTTGTTGCGTTTCTTCACAAAATGAGGAATTTTGCTAGGTCAGGGGCCATGTTTTTATTTTCTCAAAACACATTACAAATAACAAAATTTTACTGCTATACAGTGTTTGGCACATCGTAGGCATTCAACCTACATTGAATGAATAATTCCATTATTTTTACAAGGGAGGAAACTGAGGCCTGAGCGACCCTGACCTTGAAGTTAGGCTAGTTCAACCAGGATCTGAGTTTAGGCCTCTCTGGCTTTCAGTCCCCTTGATTGTGAAGTGGTATTGTGGCCAGAGTGTTGCATCATAGTAAATAATTTTGCCTTTAGTCAATAGCTGTGATCATGTGTTTAACTTGTTGATCTCTTGAAATTTTCTAAGAGCATTTAAAGAACTGTGAAAAGTGGTTAATTTATTCCTTCAGGGTTTTTTCCACTGAGTTACAGATAATTTTATGATTCCTATTATAAAAACACTAGATGATTCTTTTCTGAGGTCTACAACAATATAGCTCTTTTCGCAGATATAACCACTTTCAGGTGATTTGCGTTAAGGTAACCATTATCTTCTCAAAAGGCAACATTTCAGGAATCATAGAGTTGTTACCATGGAAGTTTCACACTAAATACTAAGAAAAAGAAATAATGGCATTTTGATTTATCAGAACTTGAAAATTTTGTGTATGTACCTTAGTTTTTTCCTGAAAGTCATTAATTCAGAAATATACGTCTAGTTTATAGCTAAAAGCTGACGATAACTTCGTTTAGATATAGTTGACATATAACATTATGTCAGTTAAGGTGTGCAATGTATTGATTTGAGATAATCTATATATAGATTTATGACAGTTTGATTACCATGGTAGCATTAGTTAACACCTCCATCATGTCATGTAATTATCCCTCTCTTCTTTCTTTCTTTCTTTCTTTCTTTCTTTCTTTCTTTCTTTCTTTCTTTCTTTCTTTCTTTCTTTCTTTCTTTCTTTCATTATTTTCTTCTTCTTTTTGGTGGGAACAATTAAGATCTAGTTTCTTAGCACCTTTGAAAGTTATAATACAGTATTGTTGTATATTATCTTTATGCTGTGCATTAGATTTCCAGGATTTAATTATCTACTAGTTGCAACTTTATACCCTTAAACATCTTCCCAATTCTTCTCAGCCCCTGGTATTTAACTCTCTATTGTTACAATTTTGTTTTTTTTTTTAGATTTCACATATTAATGAGATCATATAGGATTTGTCTTTTGACTTAGCATAATGCCCTGAAAGTCCATCCTTGTTGCAGATGGCAGGATTTCCTTCTTTTTTATGGCTGAACAATATTCCATTATATATATGTGTGTGTGTGAACATATATATATATTTCATATACATATATTTCACCTCTTTATTCATTCATCTATTGACAGATATTTAGATTGTTTCCATATCTTGGCTATTGCACATAATGCTGCAGTGAACATGGGAGTGCATGTATCTCTTCCATATCATGTTTTCATTTCCTTTGGGCATATACCCAGCAGTGGAATTGATAGATCATTTGGTAGTTCTGTTTTTACTTTTTTTTAAAAGATTTATTTTACGACTTATTTATTTATTCATGAGAGACACAGAGAGAGAGAGAGGCAGGGACATAGGCAGAGGGAGAAACAGGCTCCTTGCAGGGAGCCCGATGCGGGACTCGATCCTGGAACTTGGGATCACAACTTGAGCCAAAGACAGGTGCCCAACCGCTGAGCCACCTAGGCATCCCAATTTTTTTAAAAAGATTGTATTTACTTATTCATGAAATACAAATTTTTTTTTAAATTTTTATTTATTTTATGATAGTCACACACAGAGAGAGAGAGAGAGAGAGAGAGAGAGGGAGAGGCAGAGACATAGGCAGAGGGAGAAGCAGGCTCCATGCACCGGGAGCCCGACGTGGGATTCGATCCGGAGTCTCCAGATCGCGCCCTGGGCCAAAGGCAGGCGCCAAACCGCTGCGCCACCCAGGGATCCCTTATTCATGAGATACAGAGAGAGGCAGAGACATATGCAGAGGGAGAAGCAGGCTCCCTAAAGGGAGCCCAATGCAGGACTTGATCCCAGGACTCTGGGATCATGCCCTGAACGAAGGCAGGTGCTTAACTACTGAGCCACTCAGGCATCCCTATTTTTAATTTTTTGGGGGAACCTCCATACTGTTTTCCATAGTGTCTGAACCAATTTGCATTCCCATTAACAGTGAACAGGCCTCTCTTATTTCTATATTCTTTTTTTTTTCTTTCTATATTCTTGCCAACACTTTCCTCATCTTCTTGATGATAGCCATTCAACAGGTGTGAAGTGCAATCTATCTTTTTTTTTTAATTTTTTTTATTTATTTATGATAGAGAGAGAGAGAGAGAGAGAGAGAGAGGCAGAGACACAGGCAGAGGGAGAAGCAGGCTCCATGCACCGGGAGCCCGACGTGGGATTCGATCCCGGGTCTCCAGGATTGCGCCCTGGGCCAAAGGCAGGCGCCAAACCGCTGTGCCACCCAGGGATCCCATGAAGTGCAATCTAATAGTGGTTTTGATTTGAATTTTCCTGATGATTAGTAATGTTGAGAGTTTTTTTTTTCTGTACCTGTGGGCCATTTTGGATTTCTTTCTTTCTTTCTTTCTTTCTTTCTTTCTTTCTTTCTTTCTTTCGTTCGTTCGTTCGTTCGTTCGTTCTTTCTTTCTTTCTTTCTTTTCTTTCTTTCAAAATATTTTATTTATTTATTCATGTGACACACACACACACACACACACACACACACATACATACAGAGGCAGAGACACAGGCAGAGAAAGGAGAAGCAGGCTCCATGCAGGGAGCTTGATGCAGGACTCGATCTCAGGACTCTGGGATCATGCCCTGAGCCAAAGGCAGGCGCTCAACCACTGAACCACCCAGGGATCTCTAGATGTTTCTTTTAGAAAAATATCATTTGGTTCCTCTGCACATTTTTAAATTAGATTTTGTTGTTGTTGTTGAGTTGTATGAATTCTTTATATATTTTGGATATTAACCCCTTTATATATGGTTTGCAAATATTTTTTCCCATTCAGGAGGTTGTCTTTTCATTTTTGATTGTTTTTTTGCTATGCAGAAGCTTTTTATTTTGATGTAGACTCATTTGATATTTGCTTTTGTTGCTTCTGCTTTTGATGTCATATCCAACATATCATTGCCAACACGAATGTCAAGGTGTTTCTTCCCATGTTTTCTTCTAGAAGTCTTATGATATCAGGCCTTATGTTTAAGTCTTTTAAATCAAATCCAGTTCATTTTTGTGACTGGTGTTAAGATAGGGGTCCAATTTTATTTTTCTGCTTGTGGTTATCCAATTTTCTAAATGCTCTTTGTGGAAAAGATTAATCTTTGCCCACTGAATATTCTTGGCTCTCTTGTCAAATATCAGTTGACCATAAATGCAGGGGTTTATTTCTGCACTCTCTGTTTTGTTCCATTGGTGTCCATGTGTATTTTTATGCCAGTACTGTACTGTTTTAATTACTAAAGCTTTGTATTCTAGTTTGAAATCAGGAAGTGTGATGCCTCTGGCTGTGTTCTTATGATTGCTTTGGCTCTTTGGGATTTTTTTTGTGGTTCCATACAAATTTTAGAGTTTTTTTTTTTTTTTCTATTTCTGTGAAGAATGCAGTTGGAATTTTGATAGGGATAGTTGGGTTGAATGTTTAGATGGCTTTGGGTAGTATAGACATTTCAACAATATTAATCTTCTGATCCATGAACTTGGGATATCTTTCCATCTGTGTTCTCTCCAATTTCTCTCATTAAAGTTTTGTAGTTTTCATTGTGCAGATCTTTCACTTCTTTAGTTAAATGTTTTCCTACATATTTCATTGTTTTTGATGCTATTGTAAATGGGATTGTTGTCTTTCAGATATTTCCTTGTTAGTGTATAGAAACTCAACTGATTTCTGTAAGTTGATTTTATATCCTGCAATTTTACTGAGTTTGTTGATTAGTTCTAAGAGACTTTTGGTTGAGTCTCTAGGGCTTTTTATGTATAAGATCATATCATCTGCAAATAATGACAACTTTTACATCTCATTTCTGATTTCATTGCCTTTATTTTTTGGTTTTGCCTAATTGTGCTAGCTAGTACTTCTAGTACTAAGTTGAGTAAGAATAATGACAGTGGGCACCCTTGTCTTATTCCTGATCTTAAAGCAGAAGCTTTCCATATTCACTTTGAAGTATGATGTTAGTTGTGGGCTTAATTATATATGGCCTTTGTTATGTTG